GAAGGAGTAAAAGAAAAGAATGATTCTCGAGCAATAAAATGAAACAAATAAAACGGTGACCCTCGGACTAACATTATTCACCTTTAACTCTGTACGCTTGGAGCTATAGGGGACAACGTCTGACCCCTTTCGTGCACGATATTCCTCATAGTTTTCCCAATACTAGAAACTCGAGCTCTTCCACAACTTATACACGACCGATTGATTCTGACTAACAACACTATCTGAGTGCCGAGGGACGGAAACGACGAGAAAGTGCATGTAGCAAAAGGCTAAAGAAGAAGGAAGTATGAATGTACGGTACTGCAGTACTACGATTTCGAAGTGATATTCTGAAGAAAAGGAGAAAAAATCGCGGGAGGATAGGATGGCGAGCAGACGGCTCTCTGCACCCCTTAGCTGGCCAGGCTAGGAGATGCAGGTGATGATGACTGAAGTCCGCTCCGAACATAAAGCTTTCCTAAGATCCAAGGTAAGAAAGAACCATGACGAGAAAATATTAATTTGTTAAGCTGGGACAGGAGAAAAAATCAAGGTTAGAAGATTGTAAGTGCCTTTGTCAATTAATTTCCGACTGTTCAGGCTTTCGACCTCGGTCTTAGTGAGGTCACATGATGAAAGTGATGAAACTCTCCTCCTAATTCCAAAAGAAAGAGGTAGGGAGGGTGCTCAGAAGAGCCGTCTATTGAACAAATCGGAGAGAACGAAGGCTTAAGGGAAGAAAGAGGAAATTAAGCAAACTGCATCAAAATGAATGAAACTAAAGGTTATTATAGCTTACCTCGGCCTGCTGACTCCGTCCACACTCGCTGCTACCACTTAATGCTGGGGGGTTCACCCTCAGCCTCCTCTCGTAGAAGACGGTCACAGCACAGTAATCTCAGAGCTTTATCCATAATAACAAGACCCAGTAACAATCGAATGTAACAACAGCGAATAACGACGAGTGGAATCTGACGACGTCAAGCGGGAGTCGGTGGACGGGAACGATGAGGAGCTGCAGCTGGACGAGGCAGCCGTTCCGCGCGCCGGTCGTATCCTCGAATATCGCTCCTCGGTGTTCTTCTCCTCTCGCATATCGCCGCCTGTAATCAGCAGAATCATCGAAGCCTGGGAAGCCGCAATGAATGAATCACCATCGATCTGCCCCTTGCTACTTAGGTTACTCTAACTAACTCTTACACCTCCCCACCCTCACAAAACGTCCGTCCTCGGACGTGGAATCTGATACATAATAGAAAAGAGGAAAAAATTAAGCGGAAATTGTTGTCTCACCCGGTTTGAGAATGTTTTATGCGAAGATGTCTGGAAGCTGGGATTCGGTGATGACCGTGCGATGTTCGTAAGCCCAGTGGATCAACGTGCCCCAGTTGTGTAGGTCATGAAGTGCGCCGACATTGGCTAGAATAAAAAGGCCGTGTCGACAACGTGTGATAGCGACGTTTAGCCTTTTTAGGTCGTCTATGAATTCTCCTGAGGAACGGTCGACCGTCGTGCGAGTCGTCAGTATTACTACGATATCCATTTCTCTCCCTTGTACGGAGTCGACCGTGAAAAGGTGTACGCCCAGTTTCGCTGCTGCTTCTTCCATAAGACGTTGTTGGTCCTTATAGAAGGTGATCACTCCGATCGACGCGGCTGGTATGTCCTTAGCAATCAATCCGCGAATTAACTCCTTGCAGCACTGCGCTTCCTGTTCGTTGGAATGGGACTGCGATGGCGATAACCTCGATCTGCCCGGAACGTCGATGACCACTAGTGGTAATTCGGGGTTCGGTAACTTGGCGTGGCTCGTGAGCATCTGTCGCCGCCGTGCTGGGGTGCCGCTAACGAGGTCTCCGTCGTATACGAGCCTGTTCGGTAATGCGTTAAGTGCGGGATGAGCTCTATATGTGGTGACGAGTTGAACCAGCGGGGTCTCCTTCGCCATTAATAACTCCATGATGCCTTTGGCGCCCAATCGCGCGGCTCGCGAAGACCGGGGGCAACGGACGTGGGGTTCTAGTTGATTCACGTCTCCAATATAGATGTGCTTAGCTAAAGGGAATCGTCCTAACATAGCGACGAGTGCGGGTTCTGGTATCTGCGACGCTTCATCTCCTATAATCACTTTACTCATTGACAACATGTCCTCAAAAAGTCCTCCTGGTTTGGTTGTGTTCAGTAGCGACGCTGTGGTTATACACATAATAGACGGAAATCGCACTTGTCCTGCGCATCCAATTCTTCGATCTTTTC